TCTCCAGAGACTTAGAAACCAGTATCGTCGCTTATCGCCAGAATTCTCTGCCACTCGAGCAGTCTTCCTCGTCGAAGGAAAACGCCAATTCCTCCATCGCGGTAATTGTGAGCCAGGAAACATTCTCTACCTATAAATTGAAAATCTCTACCACATGATGTATGACCACGAGGCATCTCGTCGCGGACTGGCTGATAAACGATCAGATGTTTTTCGATTTTTCGCGATACTGTACTCCCATTAATGGCGTCTCACTTGCGAACGAATATGCGCCAACATACGCCACGGACCACCTGTCTAGTGGACCTGATTCTCTCTTTCTCTACCCTTGCTGTCTTTCACGTATCTCCTTCGTACCGCATAAGTATCCCGTGGGGATACTCGCAGCGTGCGTCTACGATAACTATAGCACAAGTTAAGAGCTTTAAGCGCCAGAGAGTTTCCCTAAAAATGCGCGACACCGAGATGTTTAATGTCCTACATCTCGAAAACGTCCAGCGATTCGATGCCCTGTTATATCTACTGATAAGACGCTTCTTTATGCCAAGGAAATACAATAATTCGTATTCAAACTGGCGTTCCTTTCCTAAAGAAACGACACGTCGAACAATATCGTTAGAAAAATGCGAAGAGGTTAGGCGGGGTCGAACGGATCTCAAGCGTGCCAGCATAACGAGAGTGGCGTGCGTGTCTGAAAGCATAGCAATTACGGAGCTGCCTCCTTTCACGAAACACGCGAGCCACGTACGAGATCGTACTGCAAACATCGTAAATAGGCATAATAACTTCGGAAAGGTAGAATTTAAACGACGTCTTGCGTACTTCTTCGTCGGCAACAGTCGAAACTGTAACTCAATTGGAGGGAGTCGAAAATCGCAATGGTTTGAACGAGACAAAATGAAAAATTGGACTACACCGAGAGTGTACCCCACTTTCCATCGAGACGTGAGATTATATCTTTCGTTACTCGCTAAGATTCTCCGCCTCTAGGTCGAAAGCACGACATTTGCATATCGGTAACTCTTTCCCTCAGCGACCGCAATGAAACAAACGCTCGACGCGTATAACAAACCACCGCCCAATCGAAAAGAGACTTAATCGTTGGTCGAAAGATCGTCTTGCAAAATAATTTACGACCAGCAATGGAAAAACAACGGACAGAAAAGGAGAAAAAGAACGCGTATCAATGGGAGTTCCGATTTGAGAGAGCGCAGACGCAGTGCACCGGTGGGGTGCGGGGGTGTAACGGTCCATTATTTGTTTTAGATATTAATGTTCCCCGCGGACGATCAATAATTTACATCGGACGTAATCGCACGGTGTGCATCCTCTATCTCTAGCGCAGAACCCGTTGAAAGAGAGACTCGATCGCCGGGAGAAGGACAGAGAGGCCCGAGAGAAAGGAGACCCGTGTAAACAATAAATCACGATAAATACGTTTGCCTGGACCATTATAAAAGCTGAGAGGGGGGAGGAATCGACGCGATCGGCGAGGAGCCCTCACCGAAGCCAGCGAGAGTTCACCGATGCACAAGTCCTTTGCCCGTGGGGCCACTCCCGATGCAGCATCCTCTGCGGCCGCGCATTACGATCGCTTAAGTCTCCACTCGACTATCGAGTGATCCATCGGCTACGAATTCGACGAAGTCTCCCCGCCTACCCTCGGGACATCCTCGACTAATGAGCGTGTCTCGATCGCGAACCAGCTCTCTCCCCTTTTCTCCTATCTCTCACTTCTTCAGGCCCTACGTTTATTCTTTTCCACATTATCGCCTTCCATCTTTATCCCCGTTCACCACACGTCCTCTCGTGGTTCCAGGTGTGTTAAGCGTTTCTATATAAAGAGGATTCCAATTAAGAGGCCGAATGAGTTGGTGCTCCTATTCACGATCAGCTCACGAGCGAGTCGAGATATATCGGAGATGACAGGTGGACACGACCGAATCCTACGGAGAGGCCAGGTATTCGACCCTGGAACTGGACGGACGCTCAGACATCTTACGATACGATGAATGTTGGATTTTTGCGAAGAAACCGTTAAATTATAATTTGAAAGTTTCATTTTCTCTGGTTTGAGACCTTCAGGTCAATAATGACCGAAATGACTGAGTGTGGACCCAAGTTTTACGACTGGATCACACCTGAATGATGAAAACTTCGTCTATCATCGCGCAGAAGACGAATGTCGGGAAAATTCCAAAAAGGGGGACTACGGGGAAACAACGATATGACTGTACACATTTTTCAGTCGTCGTAAAAATTCGACAGCGTACGGATCGAACGAATCGGGTAGATTGCGTCACTTGCACGTTTCTTGTAAAACGCTTATATCTAAATTTCGTTTTTGTTTCTTAAATATATTACACCAAGGAAGACTTAAAACCTGCGTGTTTTATTTATCTAAATATTCAACAATACAGACTCTTGAACACTTTCTTGTTGAATACAGAATACTTTTAACGTGTTGTTATCGAAAGCCTGTACAGAACGACCTACAGTCTCTCGACTTTCCAAACCATTAAGAGTACTCCTTTACAGTCTCCTATTCAACAAGTAACCAAATTAAGACCATAAAGTAAATTTTTTATGATGCTACCACCTGGTTATTCCACCACAGGCGGCATCATTTAGTTGCAAAATATGTCCATACGTCTATAGAAATCACTGCACATTCTCAGTTCTAAAATACTTCATACAATTTCACATCCTACAGCTTCGCCATTTTTCGCCACCTCGTGCAGAATTCTACGACCCTTAGTCGAAGAACCACAACGGTCCCCGCCAATTAACATAAAGAAGAATGAAACGAGAAAAGATTCTACTCATTTGCACTTCAATTTCCTCGGTACCTGGAGAACGAGGAATCCTCGAAGCGGTACCGCGAGAATACAACGCGGAATTCGACCGCGGAGACATTCTCTGATCCATCTGTTCCCATCGAATTGTCAAGGATCGCATAAACAGGATGTCGTACTAGACGTGCAATAGTTACTCGATAGGCGGGGAACGCGTGGTAGTTCGAATGCATTCCTGAGGAGCTGCCTGTTCACCTATGCCACCGATGTGTGGCTAGTGCGTGGCGTTGGCGATGGAACGCGAGGAGAAAGAGAGACGGAAGAGCGAGCAGATACCGGGCCCCGCGGGGGGCTCATAATTGCCGACCCTGAAGATCGACCGACCCCATGGGGCCCTTCCCTGTTTGTTTTATTCCCTAGTTATACAAACGCGAGATCTACGACCGATATATGATAATCGGAGCCTCCAGTCCAGCCAGGCCTTCTCGCTCCGGTTCTCGGGGCCTTATCTCGGCCCTCTCTCTTTTTTTCCCTCTGGATGACCACCTTCGCGAAACGTGACCACATTATGGACGCTGATAGACAAGGACACGTCCGAACCAATTCTGACTCGGGTCCTGAACGCGGGCCCAGTATCGTGGAAGCTTTCGCCACGTCTCATCATTTATGATTCGCATTTATTCAAATTCCCGAGCCACGAGAAGGTATGATTAATGCAATCCACGGCGATACATGCTCGATCAAACGGATCGACTTGGATTGCTCGTGCGAGAAACTTGTGTAGACGTAAATTAATATTTACTAATTATTTTGTTCGATAATAGAAAAACGCGGACGCTTGAGTGAAGTAGTAACGCCTCATGGCCGCGAGGGTAATAGAGGAAGATTTATTAGTCGACTTTGAATCTATGAAGATAGTCTTTTTTCAGAAGAATTCTAAACGATAATCGTTTGAAAGAAATAGTGAGTACTGTTTATAGTATTAACAAGATATTAGAATAAGTGACTTTTGCAACATAGTATTTTTAATTTATTTCACACAAGTCTTGCGCCAATGCAATTGAAGTATACGGATGAGTCTCTTCGGAGAGTAATGCCATTTGGCATTCTACAGGCTTCGTTTTCGCCGTTAAAATTAAGCGGTACCAAAGGTATTCTAATTAATAAGTATTCATTAATCTATGTTCGTATATTTTCAAAGCTTTCTTGCGAAAGGAGTCCACAAGAAGCAGACTGCGCCAGGTGTAACGCGTTTGTGCGTGATCCTGGATTTCAATGCGGAGTAACGTTATCTGCGAACCAACCGGCAACCATATTTCAAAGAGATAGCTTCGCAAATGCAACAAGTTGCTCCAAATGCATGTAATAGACGGTATCTTAACGTAGAGGAACTGACACAGTGATTAATTATTAAGATTGCGTATGACACATGATAAATGCAACCACGTAAATATAGTTGAAAATGTATTAGGACGAATTCTGGATTGTCTTTCGCAATTCAAGGAACTTAATGTATATATGAAAATTCAAATTAAGTAATATCCTTGGCACACTTATCGTCGCATCTAACATTTACAGATTATAAAATAAATTATCTGCAAGACTGAAATATAACCATTAGATGCTACCCAGATGCCTCTAACAATAGTGAGATTAACACATTCGCGCTCCCTGACGTAAATTCACGTCACTTCAAATTCTATTTCTGGTTACGAAAACCTTTATATTTTATACACTACATATTTACAACGTTGATATTTTCAAACATATTTTGTAATTTTTATCTTGGCACTAACGATATAAATTTGCGGTGTCTAGCTTCAGAATTTTATTATTTTTGTCAGTATTTGGTAACAGAAACGTAAAATATCTACCAGCCGCGAATGTGTTAATAATCGAACAGTACTATGGATTTACTTGTGTTTGATGATAATGTCGTGTTATTAGTTTACGAATAATTCAAATACCACAAGTCTCGTATATCTGTAACTATTTACATAGCAAATAATATCGGATTTATCTCCATACTTTGCATGTACGTTGTCGTTATTCCGCACACTATAATGAATCGTACTAAGGTATTTAATCGATCTATGCGTTTATCCATTTACTGTAGGTCCAAAAATTTCGTGAATACGAATAAAAAGCTCCCCATGATCACCACTGGTTAGGATTTTAATCATGCACCTCCAATTATTCACTTACCTCAGTGTCGATTTTCTTGAACTCTGGGTCCTCCTCGTCCACTTCGAAGTACAGCTCTGTGGATGTCACGGAGATAATTCCGGGAGCCACAATACCCGGCGCGATCAGTTTGCCTTTCGTACTGATGTTCACTGGGCCTGGAACACGGATCTCGTTACAGTTTAAGTATGTTAAAGTTCAGGCGGTACAACATGCAAACGAAGCGTCACGCTTCACTAGGCAATGAAACCAGATGGAACGAAACGAAACGAAAAATCTCACCCGTCAGATCGTTGTCGAGGTCCCTATCATCCGACAACAGCTCATTGTCATCCATGAGATCCGCCGACTGCAATTGCTGCTGATGTGCACGCGAGGCTGCGAGATGCGCGTGAAACTCCTCACGCGCCTGAAGGATCGCATCCTCGGGTGCACCGTGCTCGAGAGCCGCCTTCAGTGTAGCCTCGGAATGGCTCGAGCCTAGTGGATTGTGCACGAAACGCTTACGTCTGCGTGCATCATCCTCCCAAGCATCTAGCTTCCAGTATTCGGCCAATCTGCGTTACAGAAATGTACAGATCATTCTTTCAGATCCTAGAACTCCTCGTGCCTCAGACGTAAATCACAGATTGAGAAAATTAACACTTTGCACTCCAAGCAATTTGGGTATATACAGGTAGTCAACTCCAGGCCATTTTTCTTAGATATCTGAGTCATGGAATGACCATGAAAAACTCTTCGCAGTTCGTTGAATTATACAATTTTTTTTAGAATTTTACATTTTGATTAACCAAACATAATCATACATAATGGAAAACTGAGGTATTTTTTAACGCTATTGCTTAAGAATATTGATTCTATGACTAATTGAATTTAGATACCCATCGCTTATTAAAAGTGAATGATAAATTGTGGGGAGTGACACTGGCCGTAGTAGTAGAACGTCTTCAAGTACCTGGGCATCGAACTTCCCTTCATTACCGCGTCGAATCACTTCTGTTCTCCCATTTATTGCTTACTTTGCTTGTTACTTATGCCTGGGCAGTGCAGGTGTCCTTAAGAGTGCAAAGGGTTAAATGAATAGTGCCAAGTGATTACTTACTTTGCAGCCATTGGATCCATGTATCCCCAAGCGCCATGTTTGTTAGACAGGATATTTCGAACCTTCTCCAATAATCTGCTGGCGATGACATTGTCTCGTCTTCGTGCAGCTGTGATCAGATGATCGCACATTCGTTCCTCTTCCCGTCGGTCGAGTAACGTCTGTGCACACTGTGACTAAGAAATAAATATTTTATGATAAGCGTTTCACGCATAATTACGAAACCAAAGGTTGGTGTCCAGGTAGGGAATAGAGGTCGTAAAAATTAATTGCACAAGTCAAAACACGCGAAAACAGTTACCTCGAAGTCAGCATGCTTCAACACGTCGTCCGCTCTCATTCGATTCAGGATAAATTCAGCCTCGTTGGCGACTCTGACTATATGATCCTTCATCGCGTGAGACAGCAACCTGCGTAACATAAACGTAAACTTTTTATGATTCGAACAGAGGGCCCGTTCGACCGCAGTATACCGCGTGCAACTATAACTCCGTCGTTGTAACGATGATCGTAATGAGGCCTCTTACCTTCCCTCGTTAATGAGCTCGATGAAAGCGAGGCCCGCGTGTTTCTGCAAGGAGTTCTGCCATTCTTGGGAACAAAGTAGCATCACCAACTCCACCACGGAGTTGCTATTCTTGAAGGTTGTCAGACCTAGCGATCAAACAGGAAGACGAATTGTTAATACCAGTAACGAAGCTCATACTACCAAAAAGTTCTCAGTCAACTGAAGATCGAACTTTGATATTATACTCTCGAGTATACTGTTCCTTGTATGATCGCAGCTCTGTCGTATTTCTTCATCGGCTTAAAGATGTTATCATCGTATGCAAATAAACCAGTTAAATAAAATCTAGAATTTCTCCACGAATAATTCCTATTAGTTTCGATTCGTTATCCAGCATTCGCATAAAATATAACCGATCCTCGAGTTTAAGTTCGAGATTGTAAAATGTACGGGATACGAACGACGACGGAGGCGAGTAAGATAGAAGCAGAGGAGCCATAAAACGTTCGGGTGATTTATAAACAACGTTCAGTGTGTCGAGCCTCGTTGAAAATAAAGCGCATCGATACGTGACACGACCGTCATTTGCGACGTTCTACGAATGTAAAATTCTCGCGCGAAGTGCCACAGGCCCGCGCGCCACGCGAATACAAATATCGGCCGATTATCCAGAATACGACTTCCATCTTCCTAAGCGAAACTATAAACTAACTAATTTGAATACCTTCGGCGAAACGAACTGCAAAGAAAAAAGGAATAGAAGCGAAAGGAAGATTCACGATAGAAAGTGACGGAAATCTGGACGACTTTGCGAAAATTTTTAAATCCTTCGAATTTAACTTTTAATTTAATTATGATTGAAGTCTCGATTTTAACTGGATTTAACCTCTTCTCTTCTTGACAAACATCTTGCCAATCTCTGTAGACGAGAAACAAACCGATTCGGCGCTAGGTGATTAACGCTTATACCGATCAGGGAAGCAATTATATCGCCTAATTAAGTTTTCGAGCGCGTTCTTGCGTTAGAAAGCTATACATATTGATCGATCGATCGAGTCGTACCTTTTCCTTCCATCAATAACTCCTGTCCATGAGAGCCGACGAGAGTTTTCGAGAGGAACGGGGCGAAATCCACCATGATCTCGCGCAAAAGAGGGCAAACGGAACCGAGCGCCATTTCCAATTTCTGCGTGAGGGACGCCTCGCGCGAGGGCGTCGGCACCGGCAGGTGATCGACAAGTCCTTTTATCGGTAGTTCGTCGGGTCTTGGGGACGCGGAACTAACCACCAATCTGTCTGGCACCCGGACCACTGAAATCTCTGCGGATGGTTTTTCACCGCGTTCCGCGTTCCCGAGCATCTCTTGCTCCAGAACGTTACCTTCGCTGTCTTGAATCTCACCTGCATATCACAACAGAAATTCGTGATTTGAGAAATAAATGAGCCGTTCACTGCAAAAATCAATTAACTCCACTTTTTGAAAAATCTTAAGTATAAGTGTCAAAGCACTTGGTATAGCCATTATTTTTTATATTTATAATAACTTTTCTGAATAATAAAGATTAACACCATCAACCAGTTAAGTGCGTTCGACGTGAATGCTAGTCACTGCTTTATTTTAACTCCGCACTCTGTGGTGATCTTTTAAAACTAAATTCCGCAATTAACCGGTTAAACGACAACATTTTGTTGCCCATTGAATAACAAATAATTTACTTCAGAGGCCATTTAATCGCAATTCTCAATTTTTTGTTTTATGGAGTTAATCGATTTACGCGATGAACGGCTCAAATACTCTTTCCACCTAAAACCAGTGGAAAAGGAATCTTACCGCGATTATGGACCATATTGTGAATATTTCGTGGGTCTTCTCTCTGGTTCGTGATCGGGATCGTGTCCCCGTCTTCGTTCAAGTTGACATCGGTCCAAGCCTCCTCGGAGGAGTTATGTTTGTTCTCATTGTCGGTGGTAATATCGGATGGACTGGGATCGGCGGTGACATTACTGCGGTGCACCGTCTCCTCGCTGGAGTCGTTGCTCTGTGAGAAATTCGTATAAAAGGGACAAAATTGAGGTCACCGTATAACGACGAACCACTTTATGTGCAGAGACACCAATCAGGAGATTATGGTACATTTACGGAAATTTCGTGGTGCGTGTGTGGGTTCAACGCGATTGTGCGCTGTACCTTGAAAAACAGAATTCGGTGGTGGTTAAGATCTTCTTTTTCAAACATCATGTTCTATGTATTTATATGAATGGTATAGTATTTATGTGGAGGTATATCAAAAGATGTGTTTGGTAAAATTATTTGAAGTTAATTGGACAAAACTACGGCTACTGTGCTACGGTACTGGTTACTTCTAATGAAAGCCTAGCTTTCGTTCAACACGCTAATTGTAAAGGTCTAGAACAGTCTTAGGAACGTTTACTTATAGGAATCAAACGATACACAGAGTGCCACACGATTTTCTGGATCAACTATGTCAGCACGTTCTATGAGCAGAAATAAAACAAATCTGTAGTATAAACATAGATTCGTAAATGTTTTATAAAGACCTGAAATTAGAATATACATAGAAGGAAATGGTGTTGAATTTGTTCTTGTTGCTATAAGACGTACTTTTATTTATGTTAACACATTCGCGACCAGCAGATATTTTACATTTCTAATACCGAGTACTGACGAATAATAAAATTCTAAAACTGGATATCGCATTCGCGTATACACATTCGTGTATCGTTAAGTCGAAAATAAGAATTAAAAAGTATGTTTTGAAATATCAGTGTTGTGAATATGTAGTGTATAAAATAAAAAGATTATCATAATTTTTTCATAATCAGGAGTAGAATTTGAAGTGACATTAACTCTCGTCAGCGGTCACGAATGTATTAACATCAGACATATGGGTCTAGTCTCACCCGTATCATGATAATAAAAGCAAGTTCTCGATCATTTTTCTCCCATTTCATAGTACCTATAATAACCCTTCACCGAAGCATTTATGAGCCCATGTTTACGTAACGTTTATCGCTTTTCTCGACCCATAAAACATAGGGCACAGATTGTCTGAAAAATCGTGGGACACCCAGCGTACCCTGCAATTAACTCTCGCGTGCTATGCAATTTATGTTACTTTATGTCATGCAATTAATCGTACACGACTAATACGCAATCACCTAATACGTGTAAACATGGAATAGAAGCTTCCTAGACTCTCAGGCTCTGGCGGTGAACGTAATATCGCCATAACTACGGGGATTACGTCCATCAGCCGTACGTAATAAAAACGTAACTACGTATAAAATCACGTAGATAAATGCCGAAGATGTATAAGAGTCGAAATCTTTCAGTTTTATCTATACCGTTTACGAGCTTTATTGCGCACCCGTCGAATGGGCATTCTTACGCGTCGTCGTTGCATGTCTTCTTGCTCTCGGACAGAAAACGTGTTAAACGGTTAATAAACTGTTGACGATGTACACAAAGGTTTTTCGAACGCTCCCAAAACGATCGGTAGAGATATCGTTAGGCGACGAAATAAGTTCTTGGACGACTCTTCTTGCAACTGAATTTCTTTTTCTCTTTTTCGTCTTTGCAGAAATCGTTAAGAATTTATTTCGCCGCCGGACGTTTTCTTTGTACAAGGAGATTCTCGTTTAAGGTGATTCTTCCGAGTCCGTACTCAAGTCAAATTTTACCTGGATATTTCGTGGCAGTGGTTCGGGTCTTGTCGAAGAGCCAAGCGTTGGTTCTGACGAGGTGTAATCCTCGAGAATTGTCCGTGGCCGAGGTACACCACTGTGACCTCCCTTTAGAACCAGTAGTTAGTACGCATAGCAATGCAAGCAGAGGAAGTTAACGATGAGAAAAAATTAAAGAATAAAGGTGTAGCATGCTTGAGAGATATTAGAGATCGGAAATTACAGATAGATATACTCTCGTTGGTAGTTGCGATAAAAATATAAACATATTTGGATCGAGCCTGAATATTCTCAAATCTTGGTCTTATCATGGTGGAACTTTTAATCAACCTTTTACCGTGCGATAATGAAACTGTGGATATATAATACATATATAATTACATAGTATCGTTATTCAGGACTACGCAAATGCAAAGGAACGCTAAGTAAACACTACATGCTGGATGTAGCAGAAACTGTAATTAACGGTGTGTTACAGATCTGAATTAAAAAATTACTCAAGGGCTCGGATCTAGTGTTCAAACTAAAGTATAAACTACATCTAAGGGAAACTTTCAATCGAAACTAGTGTCGAGTGATTTGCCAACTCGAAAACGATTTCTCTCCCCTTCTTTCGTCTCTCTTGACTCAGGTTTACTATTCGTTGTTACGATATTAGTACTCCGGACGCATGCAGTTTGTTCTTTGAGTCGAAGATCCCGTTAGAAGTTCGTAGATTTTTGGTTTCAAGTGGCTACAGAAGAAATATCGTAAAGTGACAGTTCAGTAAACGTATGCAAAGCGTATCGTGTGGGCGGAAGGTGTCGATACCATTACGACCGTAGATCGTGCGTGACAGAAAGGTGCAGAACCATATTCCCATTGAAGTATCAAATATTTATAACTCGAGTACATAAAGATCATGACTATAAAACCAATTACAATTCGGGGAACGCGAATATTTACTACGTATAGAGATAATTTCATATGGTAAAACACGATTACATTCCTTGTCAACGGTAGGCATGCACTCTCAAGTAAACTCATCGATAAACAATTTCCTCGTGAATGACAATTCGCAACTTATTGTCTCCTATTCTCGTAACTTTCACGTACAGATAATAATGGGCAAAGATTCAGAAGGGTTTTATTTTACCTGAGCACGTCTTTCGTATAGGCAGATCGTTTTTTGTCGCACGTTTCAACGAAGTATGCGGTAAAAGTTGCAACTTATCGAACAGATAACGAGACGAGAAATGGTCGTTTGGTCGCTTACCTTCGTCGATGGAGGTCCAGACGACGATACGTCGTGATCGGCCAGGATCGAGGAATTGTTCTCATCGACAATTATAACCTCGTATTCGCCATCGTCTTGAGAACCAGCTTGGCTCATGATACCTCCGCTTCCTGGGAACACATTTCGATAACGTGAGTAAAATGCTGGAAAAGTACAGTGGAATTATATCTTGCAAAGCACATGACACGAACGCTGATGCGATCGACGACACCTGCGAGTTTTCAATCCCTCAAAGTCGAGTATTTGTTTTTTAAAAAATATTTATTTTGTTCTGTGTTTGAATATGAATTCTTATTAATTTTTAGTGTTTCAACCTGACTGAGGATGTTTCGTCGATCGCATTGTGTGGGAGTTATATAGTGCAGGAACTTCAAAGGAAAAAACGAAGCGCAATAGGTACGTAATCGAAGCATTCAAAACTGTTTAGCGATTTGAAGCTCGAGGAAACGGTTGCATCGCATAAAGGTTCTAACTGATTGAATCATTGCACTGCAATGTCTAGCAATAACGGTTTCCTTTCTCTTCAAGTGATCGAAAAAGAATAAAATAACGTACGAATATTACAGAGAACAGAGCAAAATCATAATCTCGAAAGTAGTGGTATAGTTGATTCGACGATACATAAGGATAGAAAATTGAAGATTCAAATTTTTACAAGAATTCATCGCTCATAACGATGCAAGACGAATTTCATTTGTCATAATAATTCTTCTAGGGAAATACTTTTAATGCAAGTCGTTTAAATCACCAAACAACGTAGTGGCTACGTTATACAGTCAGTCCCATAAGTATTCGTACACCGTATGTCTATTAAAGAAATTTGTTTAAATTAAATGGTAGGTTTGATGTTTCCAAGTCTATATTTGTATAAATATGTTAATGTATATATAAATATGTACTTGGACAAGTTTATTCATATAGATATTTATAATAAAAAATTCATTTAGTAATATCAAACCTATTATTCAATTTAGTCAAACTTCTTCAATAGACATAGAGGGTAAGAATATTTATGGAATTGACTGTGTGTCCTTTTTTTAAAATAAGGAGAGTAATCCTGCGTTGAGTGTAAAAAGAATTTAACTGTCATTGCGTACAATTGCGTTTGAACGAACATGCAAACTCGTTGTTTCACTCGCAAATATAATAATATGCAATTAGTGCACATTTTTCATTCACAATTTATGTGCAAACGGTTCGTGTGCTTCAAGCGTTCAGATAATGTTTGACCGATACGACCGATACTTAACGACCGTATTGCATAAAGATAAGTTTTGTAAACAGAACTTTTAACGAGCGAAACGTCTGTTCGGTTTTTATCCACTATCTTTATATTCAAATATCTCTATACTTAAAGAAGTACACATATTGAACGGGTTAACGAGAACCAGTTCCATTCGTGTTTACAACAGAGAAACCAATAATTCTATCGGAAAACAATACAGCAACGAAGGGATCAAAAAAGTTCAACCAAACAATTCCATTCCTGCGAAACGAAAAATTGCTGATCGAAAAAATCATAATGGCTGTTATGCGTGTGTACTTATGTGCGTGCACGTGCATGTGTGTATGTGTAGATCAAACTTTGAGGGCTGTTTCTGATGAGACACTTGGTCGCCCTGACGTGAGGGCTACACACTTTGGATTTCGTAATCGTTGGTAAGATCAAGAACATGTATGATTTTTGGATACTCATTCTGTACTCGTTGCAATAGTGCGCTAATAAAGCATCTCGAGTTGCTGGTGGACACCATAAAAAAAGGCCTCGAGTGCAAAGTGTTAATTCATTCACTGCCAGGCAAATTTAATGCGTTTTGCTTTGGGTGGCAAGATTTAATACAGACGTATAATCTAAGTTATTATTTTGATAACAGAAAGTGGCATTAAATTTGTTGATTTAAAAAGAATATTGACGATCTTCTTTTGCAATAATTTGTAACTCAAACGACTATAAACTTATACGAGTCACAGATTAAAAACAGACCAAACACTAAACCAAGTGTCTCGTTCGAGAAAGCCTCGATCGAGCTCAAGTTCATCAGCGAACAGTGACGTGCGGAACACTGGCATGTCAATACCGTAAGAAACAAAAATGTAAACGTAGAGGGGGGAAAAACGAAAACGCAATAGTAATCGATAGTTGTCGTTCGATTGGCAGGTTAGACGGCAATTAAATAATCGAGCAGGCCAAAGAAAGAACTCGAGCATTCCGTGGAACAAACGTTCGGGCAATCGAGTTTACCTTGCAGACCGACACCGGAGTTTCTATGACAGAGATTTCGGGGCTGATCGATATGCTTTTGAAGCGTATGATGGTGATTGTTGTTATTGTGATGATGGTAATGATGATGACGATGATAATTATGGTTATTCGGATGATGGTTGTAATGATTACTGTGGTGATTCGGGAGATAATAGTTGGAGGGGGGCTGGCGATTAGAGTGCCTGGCAGCCGGTAGCGGGTGCTGGTGGTGGTGCTGGTTGATGTGGTGGTTGGCATTGACATTGGCATTCGCATTGGCGTTAGGGTGAGATCCCGGGAGGAACTGTGGGTACACGTGGTGAGACCACTGTGGAAACAGGGGCCGCCCTCCTCCACCACCATTCCCATCTGCTGAGGAACCACATTTACCACGTTACCACGATTCTCAATCCTCTGCCCTCGTTTACTGGCGTTTCCTTTTGCCTCGTGTGTCTCATTTTTAATACCCTCTACTGCGTTTCACTCTACACAATACGCAATCATAGTTTTCTCTTGTTTTTTGCTATTAGCAATGAATTTATTTTTATACGCAACCGCTCAAAAGTATCCGGACACTTGCTTGTGTCCTATAAAACTTAACTTTGTACGAAAGGTATTTAGAACGCTTATATCAATTGTAATTATTATTGTTATCATTTTGAGGTATCATAGCATAATAGAATTAATCCTTATGTACAATTTATATAATCACTATGAAGAATAAAATTCCTGCCGAGAAATACAAAATCTAATGAAGCGGTCTCAATGCTTAAAAGAATCTCAAGCTCCATTTTGTTTCATTTCTATGCAGAATGAGATCAGGGAGTTCTTCGATATGTATTAAGTCTCTGTAAACTGTATATGATATGTTTATGTTGTCTTGAGAGGGGTAAGAATTAGTCCAAGCGGAAATATTTAACCGTAACGGATACATAGATGAATCCCGTATTTAATTTTAGTGTAGTGCTGGCAAGTTCCACATATGTAATTTTTAATTTCAAACGTTACATATTTCTTAAGAAACTAATAAAAAACAATTTGTCGCTATTTTAGGTACTTAAATACCTTTTATGCAATGCTAATACATATGTATTTCGCAAGTGTCCAGATACTTTTGCGCGGTAGTGTACATTTCGGAATGCCTAAGTATGTACTGTACTCACAAAGAGCCAAAGTCATCTTTAATGTACATAATTGTACTTTAATCTAATGCATCATAGTTTTCAATTATAATATTGTTAACTTGGTATTTAACAGACTTAGGTTTCGGACACCATTTAACAAACATCTAAACTCTCTCACCCAATTAGTAAGGTTTTAATGTACTTTTGCATAGATCTGTAATAAGATCCGTCATGCTCGAAAGGATTATTAAACAATCCATAAAGGTACAAGTGTGATCTACGTTATTACCAGAATTTCAAAGTTGAAATTTCCAACTCTCAATCCTAATATTATGCAAAGATTAATAGAGTGAAACTCAGTAAAGCGAAGGCAATCCATGATTTGTTCACTGTCACACGAAACAACTAAGTTATTCTATAATATTATAAGAAAGAAACACAAAGTACTGAATTAGGAGCATCGCATAGTTTAGGCATAAGACACATTGTTAAAGTACAACATTCAAGTGATACATGTCATCGAACATTCAATTGTTCTTGAAACAACATTTAATGTAGTCGATGTAGATTATCTTATGTTGTAATCCACTGCAGTTTATATTTTGTCTGAAACTTCTTTTGCGCAACAAAATTTTATATTTCGTAATTGTAAAATAACCGTGACATAATGAAAATATATTTAAACGCAAAAGAAAGTGCTAATGCATTCGACAAACATCAAAACTCTCACTGTCAGATACATATAAAATAGTTCATACAGTGCAATTGAACATGCGCTCTATTCGGTGTGATGTGCTGTTGTTTCTGCAGCTAAACAATTAAAGTGCACAGTGTTCCACATTAGCTACATATGTGCACATACATTTGTGTTGTGTATAATATTCTTATTTCATTTGACCGATTACTGTAAAAGAATATTTAAAAAAGCATTTATATATTCTATGTTTTCATCGCTATTAGAGAAAGTATTCGAGAATGTCGATAGCATTTGTGGCGTATCTCCATGTGTTTAATGTTTAGCAAACTCGACTTGTATCAGAATTCGAAAATGGATACTTCATTCCTTTAATCGGAAAACTCTAATTGTTCATGGTTTTCGAAATGTCTGAACATTGTAAGAAACATGCTCATATAGCTGCAGTCATGCTACAGTATCGTGTTACATTTAAAGTGTAAAGAGAAGTAAACTTTGTCATTTAATACGTTTTAGATAGAACGATTAGTAAATACAACACCATATATCTGACATGTAAGAGTTTTGAAGTAACAATTGTATATTATCAACGTTAATCATTCATCGTTAAATAATAATAGTTTTTTTTTGTGTAAAGTTTGTTAGAGGGTTGACACATATATATGTTTGAAAGTTAACATGCATGTTTTAGTATCGACATCGATTCAAATAATCCTTGTACGTTTCATCAATTTTTTATGAAAGCACCTGCAAACGATAACTCCTTTCGTCGCTACCTATACGATACTTTCAACATTAATCGTATTGTAGTAAAGATATATTTCGTTTAATTATCTCATTTGGATAACAAAATTATGTAAGCTATTATAAATACTCCTGAATTATGCACCTAAAATTACTAGCAGTGTAACGCATAGTTATTCGTGTTATTAACGAATCTGACAGATAAATGTTGATTTAATGTTACGCTTTTCCTTGTTGCAACAAATTGGCTCATATAATAATGGTCTATATCTTACCTGAAGGACTGCCTGGTCTAAGACCAGCACCGTTAGTCTGAATTGTTTGAACTGGACTTGGGGGACGTTGAGATATTGGTGGTTCCAATATGTCGCGATATTTCGATACCATTAGTACAGAGATGAAGTAAACTATAGCCAGGGACAGAAACTGGGCCTGCTTGGTTTCTTCCTGAAATGAAAAAAACGATATACTCTTTATTAGTTTCTCACTTTTATTCGCTACGTCTCGATTATTTGTTTATGTAGATATACTTACAACATCTCTGTATATCACAGCTCTTAAACGATTCACATCCATGTCTTGTAACAATTTCTCAGGGTCCTTTACAGGACTCAACTGATGCGCCAGATTGTCCACTATATTCTACAAAAATAGAAATAACATTTTACTTTAACATTCGAAGAGTCAACGTTGATGACCACTGAGAATGCTAATTTCTATACAATATGGCATTGAACACGTATACGCTGTGTGCAATTAGTCGATATCGATGACGATAATACATTTGTCTATGTAAATTAAGTTCGATCGGATGAAACGTACCTTGGGTGATGTTTGAGCTCCACGTATGAGAGACTGTATGTGATGTGGTTTATTACTAGAACCAATCTGTCGACCTAACATGCTGTACGATCTGCCACGTTCTTTACACTCTAAGCAGTTTCTAACAGCACATGTACAGACCTATAGAAGCATTTCATCAGATGAATATAACAAAAAATATAGTGTAAACGTACATGTTGAATGTCTATATCACACATATACAGAAGCTGAAAATATTACAACTATTTAACACACTGCTGATTTAAGAACTATTTCTATTAATAAACGTCTGCTTGTAGACTACAAGAGTATCGGGGATGTTTGGGCGAATTGTTATATTTATTTAAACACTTTCCATTCATTTTAAGTATTCCAATTATTGAATTATTTTGAATTTTAGAAGTTCCTTGCTTCGTTTGGATCAACTTTTACATTGCATGTAACGTTTGTGCTAATCATCTATAGGACACGCAATATGTACAGACTAGCCATGTGTGTCGTCGAATCAAATTCGCCACGAGATATACGTATTTTTGTTATTGAGCGTGCGGCTCACATCAAAAGTCAGTCGCGCGACAAAGAAGGTGAAAGATAAGAGTGACGAGAAACTAGTGACACTTGGAATGCATTGACGTAACTGTGAAATATAACAGCGATCGAATGACAACTTCAGTTTCCCATGTCCGTGATTTTGTGACGTCATACGACTATGCGTTAGGTGGAGCGAGCGGCTTAGTCCCTTTGCCCCGGTCCCCTGTTGTTTATAAACACTCGATAACTGCACAGGTGGTCGGTCTGTATATACACACATGTGGACACTCGGCTCGGTGATCTGACACACAGCGTGTGCCTGGTGTCTATAGGGATTTCGATGCTAAGAATCTGCATAAGACAGTCTCTGTGAGAGACCTCAATGCTTGACACTCGGCAACGGTGGTCAGTCTGTACACACGTGTGTCTCGCGTTTATAGATATTTCAATGCTAAGAATCAGCATAAGACAGTCCTCCGTGAGACTTCGATTCTTTATGCACATACGCGTCAGTACATACACGTACGAAAAAAACACAGAGCATACTATATGTTCTTTCTATTACATTCCTATAGAGAGAACAATAGAAATGGTATATGATCCCGATTTTCACAAAAAGTAATCGATTCTTTTACTAGATCACGTTTAAAAAATAAGGTGTATAGTAAACGAAATAAAACATCGGTACTATTAAGTTAACGATAGGGTCAACTTGGATTTGGTGCTTGTGTTATCTGTAACACATTGTATTTGTGTAGTATGCATCGGTAAGATGAATCTAATTGGTGTGCATGATGAACATTTAATGTAATTCTGGTTAATGAGACTTTTCCACTTTTTACTCAACGATATTTCTAAAGTTTCCATAGGAAATCAATTACGTAAACTATTGAACGAATAAAATCACAAGGAAGAGCTTTATAGAGCTCAAATTGCATGGTGTAGGTAATAGTAGTGTAACTGTTTGAAAAATTAAAGTACTACGTGGACGAAAATACAAACCAGTCGTAAACACTGCCTTAGAATACCGCCACTAGACATATTCTTCTCAGCCTCCAGTTCACCAAAATTTAACGAGCTGGCGAAGATAAGTACATCAGCCATGTTGACTAGTCTTTGCAGAAAAGAAACCGCTACCTCAATTGGCATCCCCTGAGTTGGTTCAATTACATCCAATTCGCTCTATGAATATCCAAGCACCAATTAAAAAAAGGAATCCGTCGAAAAGAACTCTCGCCCGGATATGCTCTTCTATGCGAGGTAAAAACGAACACGAAAGAAAACAGTACGTACATTCGGCGAGGTCGCTGATGCTAGAAGCGGTAACAATCCCCCGCAGGCAATTATGAGATTGTCGGCCAGTTGCGAAATCAGGTGAACAGTATTAACAACAAATATTGCGTTCTCGCTGCTGTTCACAAAATCCAACACTGACTTCGTCGAATGGCTGAAACGCGGGAGTTGAAAAGTTTAAATTGAAAAAGTTTTAAAATTCGAAGTATTAGGTTGTCTCAAAAGTTTCTTTGGTTCTTGGGTTTCTTTGTTTTTTTTCGTGACTTGCATTCAGCTGCTTTATGTCTTATTCGTATTTCTTAGAAGTTGAGGCTCTAATAGTAATCGAGAAAAATCGATTATGTACAACTCAGTAATATAACATAAAACAATAAAATATTGTATACGTATTACTTACTAATGAAACATAAGAAACTTTTTGGACAACCTAATACAGTATAACCCGAGATATGTACCTTCTCCAGACTTGAATGTCAGTCTCTAGCGAGAAGAGGACATCCGAGAGTAACCTCTGATGTATGTAGGACCACTTGAACTCTGGTATTCTGAAAGGGGGTCGTGTCGGTCCTGGACTAAACATTGGTCTCGTGGAAGGATTACCTTGCTTCGATCTTTTTGATTCTAAAATATCGACGGTGGACTTAAGTATTCGTAGAGTAGCTATGACTCGAAGAAACGCGGTCACTCTTACCGAAATGATTGGGATCCACTTGCGTGGATGTTGAGGCACTCCTTGGTCGTTTCTGGGGTGACGATGTTTTTCGCAATGGTACAGGTAAAGAAGGAGGTTCGTTACTGTTTACGTTATCATCGGTGGCTGTCTCGGAGGGTACAGCCGGCAGGCTGGATCTGCGATGATTATCTACGTGATCTGGAGTTAAGTCATTCAATAACGAATTGTCCCTCGTGACCACGGAAGGACTAACGATTTGAGGCACACCGTCGGGCATATTTTTATTTGCATCACAGACCGTAGATATTGTTGGAATTTGCTGCTTAGGATTTGGCACTTGCGTCACGTTATCTACAGAACTTTGTATATCGCTATTACTACAAACACTATCTGTTACTTCTACCTCGTCAGTTCTCACCGGGGTGTCTGACTTATTATCACTTACGTTAGTAGAAATAGTGGACGGCTCCCTTGTATGTTCAGTTACCTTCTCGTCGTTATCATTAATAACAGCACTTTTCTCCTCTGTTACAGAGTCCGCGGCGCATTTGTCACTACTTAACTCACTAGTCACTACTGATTCCACTTTCTCCTCTTCTACCTCTACCTTTTCCTCGCAGGCATCGGTACTTTCTATTACGCTAGTTGAGCAATTGGGATTTTTCAAGTTTTCCTCGGTTTCTTTCTCGCTAGTCTCGATGTTCGCGGTCGTCTTTTCGGGATTATCGACGATGTCTTCGACAACAGTGGCCTCGACATTGCTTTCGATGACATTATCCTCGACACTATTCTCTGTCTTTTCTACGTCCAGGACCTTGTCCTTCGTGTCGCCGAGATTCTCTTGGTTCTCCGTCGGTGTTAAGTACGCTTCTGAGGTATCGCTGTCGTTTATCTCTCGATCGTTCTCCAATTGTAGCTTCTCGATGTCCTTGATATTCAGTGGCTCTGGCGTTTCGCTAGAGGAAGTCATGTTCTCAGTGACAACTTGCTCTATCGAAGCGATGATCTCTGTAGAAGTTTCGTCGGATGTTTCTGTTTTCTCAGAGGTTTCCTCCACGGTCGAAACAACGTCGTCATCTTTCGCAACTTTATCTACCGCTTCGGATTTCTCTTTGCTCGTTTCTTCGCTCTCCAAGGAGGGAGTTTCAGGAGTTACGGTGGCTTCTTGCGGTTCTTCAGCACTCGAAATCGCAGTGTCGGATACATTCGCGTCCTCTTTGGGCGCCGATTCCTCTTCTTCTTCGTCTTCTGCTTGCGTGCTTTTCTCCGCTTGCTTAGATGGTGACGATTCAGGGACGGTATCCTGCGATTTCTGATCCAAGGATTCCTCGTCTTTCTTCAGAACCTCTTGCACCACCATCGAATCGGGACTGGAGCTTTCGATCTTGTGCACTTCGCTGTACAAATCGCTGGTACTCTCGAGCGATATCACTTCGCTGGTCTCTTGAGTCGTGGGTATGGAGACTGCCTCGCTGTTGGCTTCCTCGAGGATCGTCGGTGTGTCCGTGTGAATCTCTCGTGCCGTCGTCGGCGTTTCTGGTTTGTCGCTCAGTCTGGAATCCAGGGATATCACCTCGCTCGACTGGGGAGTGTCCAGCGTTTCACTGTGCGACTTCACAATTGCTGGGCTGCCGTCGCTTTCGGTGTTGTCTATCGAGTTCAAGTCGCAGCTGCAGGATTCTTCTAGGCGGTCGTTTCCCTCGGATGCGTCGAACTCCTGAAAACAGGAAGCATAGATAGGTAAAGTAAAACAGTTGACACTTGAAGATCTTGCAGCAGCATTGCAGCTAGCTTCGTCAAGAGTGTGTAAATGCACTCATGGCGATATTGTAGTATCGCAACGCCCATATCCAAGGATAAGGAGTCAAACGAGAACACGAATCATAGGGTACGGGATTGGTCGTGTAGAAAAAGCGGTCATCTGTGGATCTGAACTTCTACAATATTTTGACGGAGCTAACTGCAAATCTACTCAACATCTTTATCTTCACGAACAAAATTCAGTTCAACCTTGTAGTTCCTCTCCACATGCTGCACGTCGTGATTTTGTTGGTTGCCCCAGGGCGACGGTTTGGTGTACCCATTATTCCCCGAATGCTGCTGATCCCAACCAGAGATAGTGCTGATTGGCCTCTGTTGTCTCAACTCGGGATCCGTAATGTTATCTGACCTCTGCCTCTCGTAGTGCTCGTACATCTGAGCGAACTGAAGCTTGAATTCCTCGTAGGACACCTAAGTAACGGAGGTTCGCGTAAACGCCTAGTATTTCTGACGTGACGTTGCTTTTGAAACACATACCTTGGAATGTACAATGGCGAGAGTGTCCACCCATACACGCCACCCACCGTACTCGTGTTTGATGGCATGATGTAGAAGCATGCGAAACAACGAGTATACCATGTCCGAGATCTTTTGCTCTTCCGTGTTCTTCGGATGGATGTAGGCCATGGCTATTAGCCATTCCTGCCACACAGACATCTGTAGAACCGTTCGTCGATTCTCTCGGTTGTTGTTGCACAGTAAGGTCATGTCAGAGAGGAACAGCTTCTTTACTTCCAACAGTTGCTCAGTTTGTTTTGATTGTCGAATTAGTGTCGCTACTACCTTCAAGATCACTGAAACGATACAAGAGATGAGTAGCTCGTGTCGTGCATGCTTGAGTATAAGTTTACGCTAAGTCATGGGCTTACTTGGATTTTCTAGACGGCAATGGGACTCTGGTTCAGGGTGTCTGGCGTAGAGGATCTGCTGACTAATTTGTTCCGTCATAATCTGGAAGTAGATTTAAAATGGGTATTAGAAGAGGTGTAAAGAATAAAGGTTTATTTACACATATCCGTAATGATACGGCACTGACACGTTACGGATACGTGTAAATAGACCCTAAAGTGTATCGTAATGGAGTGAGAAGGATACCTCGTATAAAACGTTGTACGTTGGCAGCGACAGCGTCTCTTCGTTCAACAGCAATCGTTCGGCCAGCAGCGTGTACAGATTGTGGGGGCTCATGACGTCGTATTTTCGTCTGTAATTTAAACTGTCTCACGTTTCAGATCGATAAGAAATTTTTATCGTTAACTTGTAGTTTCTGTTTTCTTGACATACTTATGTGTACTGCGACTGAGGAAGAATCCCAGCAACTTCAGGGCCTGCAGGCGTATCAGCTGGCTCTCCGCCGCTAGCAATTTGAAGATCGTCCTGACGCCCTGCTTGGCGTCGAAAGCGGGCACCATCGAAGATGGATGTTCGGACATCAACGATATCAGCATTTGCAGAACGTCGTGTAAGTTATCGTCCTGTGGACAGAGGTGAAACATTGAAATTAGTGGATGTAACGATTGTATTGGGTTGTCTGGAAGGTTCATGTTGATTTTTGGTAGGTGCTACAGGTCTGAATATATCGGAATAGTTGAAAGCACATAATAAGTGTTCCCTTTAAAGATGGAAAGAAGGGTTTTGGGACTGACTGTATGTATCAAAATTCAAATATGCCTTTGAATTTTTCTTAAAAATTGGCACGAACTTTCTGGACAACCCAATAGTATCTTAGAGATAGAAAATATTCTAAACAAATCGAATTTAATTGGGCATATTGAAATTATTACCTCGTGTATTGTTGTCAGGTAATTCAGAATGCTCTGCAACTCGTCATCCTTCACTCCGTTCCCGATCATTATCAGTTGTTTCAGAAATAACAAAATATAAGAGCGTATTGTCAAAATATCCTTCTGCTGAGGTCGCGGTCCGTCTGTAATTAATCAGAAGCATAATAAGATCTCGATACAAAAACGAACAAAGTCTTTTCGATGTTGTGAAATTGCTCACCAAGTCCTTTCGGAGTGATGCCACTTTTGGCTCGTGGATTGGTGACCCAATAATAATATTTAAGCGTGTGCACCGTTTGTAATACTGTGGAGACTCTTCTTACATTAGAATATATTTGCGTGTCACTGAGAAACTCTGTGGCCAAGTACGAATAAAGCCGCGTCTGTACCGGGGCCGGCGTATATATCCATAGAGCGGGATTAAAAAGGACGTGATCCAATAGCTGCCATGTTAGGAATGAAAAGTAAAACAACTACATCACCATAGATCTGCCTGTTCTTCGGACACACCAATCTAGCCGACTTTTATGGGTTCCTACACCTCTCTTACTGTATACCTGCTTAGTTCGTGGTATGTTCGTAGTCATTGGAGAACGTTCGACAGAAATTCTTGATTGCAAGGTATCGCACCAGTTACAATTTCGTGGTCGTAGATAAATTAAAACCTTGTTTGGGAACTTTTTCATAGTAGGAGTTAAACATTTACAGTTGTGCAAGGGTACCGCATGGAAAACACACGGGGAGGAACGAAAGAATCGACAGTGCCAGTAAATTTATTTTAACAATTTATGACAAGTACGAGAAGGAAAAGTATCGAGGACAATAAAGTGACACTTCATGCACTGAAATTAATACTGAGAATTTGTTAAATTTGAAGACAATATTGAGACAAATACTGAATCGAACAGAGGGATTGTAGAATCGATATTAGACATATTCAAACATTTTGTCGATATCTTTTTTTACTGTGTATCATTTGACATAAACACTGAAACGACGATCTTCCTTTCTTTCATGATTTAGCTGCTTGTCGCGAGTAAAGGATGTCCCAATATTTGTATCGTGTGCAGAGAAACAAAATAATTATAAATAGCTTCCTCGTAGGCAGTAGGCATCCTCGATAGAAAACGAAGCGAAATATTATAATAGAAATTTCAAAGTCCAAAACAAAAGACAGTACTCTCATGGTACACGTTTGCAGCAATCTCTTTTTTTTTTTAAGTAGAAAACTGAGAAAGATTCGATCACAGCAAAGAGAGTATTCGTCAGCCTTGCAAAATAATAGTCAGAAGTTTTCATGTGGAAGCAACGTAGTATTAACAAAAGAAAAATATTCTGCGTAGCCATATGATGAAATCAGGAAGCCTAAAAGTCGGTAGATTGCATGCGATCCAAAGATTCCATGAACATAACGTCGTTTTATCGGAAGGTGTAACCATGCTTAACATATTAAACGGTATAAACAAAAATACACATTCGTTCTACGTAGCATATGTACATTCAGAGCATCTACGGGCAGTTCGTCGCGCAAGCTACTGCAACGAATATTACACAGAATAGGTATAGAAAGACTATGCAATAATCTGCGCTTGATAGATCGCTCGCTCATGCTATTACACAACGTGATTCAAATGAAGACGTCGAAGCATTTACGAGGATACAGTACTTACAAAAGATAGAATAGCATCTAATTAATTAATTTTATTTTCTTAGTATTGTGTTCCTCTGATTACTTCGATTCTTATTTGAATCACTCAGTATACCGTTATCGTAAGTGAAACGAAAAAGGGGAAGTGGAAATGGGGGTACACCATGAATGCATCACGACATACGAAGGTACTGGTCTCATGGGGAAATTGGCTAGAAAATTTCAATTAATATCTTACTAGGGAGTCAATGTAAACTAATCGTCGGAGCTTCAAATCCTAATGACCTAATACAATTTTCTAGTTATACGATGACTCACTGTTTCTGGTTCAGGGTATTGATATACTTATGTACTTCGATTAAATTAGTTTGGGACATACGAGTCAAGATAATTCATCAGGTAACGTGGAGTCCTCTTTCAGCTTTCGATTTACTTGATAAAATTTAATATTTCATTTTTAAATTAGCATGTAATTTCTACATTGAAATGACGTAATTATCTCAACTTGTTCTATAAGTTAGTTACGGGGTGATACACTTATCTATACTGATAACTCTGTAAGTACTGATTTTAACATAAATTATGTTTTTCATTTCGAAAGTAGATCCTCAGATCTTAGAATGTTTATAGTAAATAATTTTTGTTAAAATCAGGTTAACGATACTTTTCTACTCTCGTGCAAACTATGGTTTTCGACTCAACTGATTTCTGCGAATCTAATTCTAATTAATCGAACTTGAAATCTAGATTCCTTTCTACTCTCGAGGATCTCTCATTCTGCTTCTTTTTCTGGTAATTTCCTTGACACTAATAATCTTAAATCTAATCCGTATTAAAAATGAACTAATGACTTAATCGATACCTGTTTTAATAACAAATCACTGTTCGCGCTGAGGCAGGTAACCAAGTGCTTTGTGAGCTCCAAGAATGACGTAAGAACTTCTGTGGTGAGATGGTCTCTGCTTGCTCTCTGTAGCATGTAGCTAATTACCAAAAATCCTCTGTTTTGTACCATATGTTGCTGCACGGTTTGCGAACTTTCCACCAAGTCGCAAATAAACCCCAACAGTTTCGAACTGAAATTGAAAATTGTTTTGTGTCATGTTTCGTTAATTTAGTAAAAATAATCAATTTAAAAATGACTTACCATAACGTGGGGTCCCTTTTAACATCGTTGGGTGCTATGCAATCGTAAGGCATATCTAGTTGCGAAAACAAAGGGAACAGCACTTGAATGCCACCAATCGAGTTCAACGTGCTATGAATGGAGTGCGTGATGACAGCTTTAACATCCTGCAAATAAGTAGAAGATTTAATTAGTGGTTTTCGAAACGTTCGTTCTACAACATATTGTATCCATGCGTTTGAAGTCGCACCTGCAGCATAAGGGCGTGTGGTGTATGTACAAAATAGGAGACGTTGCCTTTCGGTGCACTTTGCAGGCAAAGTTGAGAATCCGTTGCAACCGGGTTGTACATGAAGACGATTGCATTTGACAGCTTACCATCGTAAAGCACCTACAAAATGAAATCGTTAGTATCGTCCTTTTGATACACTTGCTATCTCTTTGCAACTGAAAGTTGTGATTCATATTTGAAAGTTTGCTTAAAACTACTGAATTCAGAAATTGGCGGGTTCATTCTTTGTAAAGCTTCAAGAACACAGCAATGCAAACTTTCAAAGTTTATTCACAACTCAAGACAATGACTACATGGTCAAACAAACGTGCCACACATCACAGAAAAGTTTAACGTGATTTTATATTAAATGTTACTTGTCTCATCGAAAGGAGAAATTCATACTTTTAAAAATCTTTCTCCAAATTCAGTTTACCCATTTGTCATGGTGTCCACTGCTATCAATATCAATGCTGTTCAAATTAATAGGCACAGTAGATAATATACGGCAACGAATATTAAGTATTATTAGAAAAGAATTTACTACAAAATAAAAATATAAACACAATTTAAAAAGGGATTAGCTAGACTAAACAAGCAGCTGAGAAATTCAAAGGCTGTTGTGTACATACGATAAGGAAGCATGAAGCGGACAAAACTTAATTCGTGGCTGAAAGAAACGTCGAGTGGGTGGAAAACAAAAATTCACAACAAGCAGTCACGCAATCGATAGATACAAACTTATGTGTCGCAGTCAACGTCCAAAGAAACTCATTGTTCTGGGAAAAGATATTCGTAGTGATGGTCGATAATCAGGTAATTACCTCTGACGAACTCGAACGCAGTAACAGAGTGATTAACAATGTGCAAATCAAATGTGAACGGGAAAAAGAAAATAAAAATGCTTACAGTTTGCATACTTTGGTCCACCATGCTCGTGAGCTCCGGCTCATCACTCACCCTTTTGTGATTGTCAGGCAGATTCAGGTAACACTCGTTGTCAAAACGAAACTGACTCTGTGAACAGAGTCAAAAGGATGTAATGAATATTTAACAAACATCGGGTCAAAGCTGGACTTGCGGGTACAGGAATTTTTTTCACCGAAAAAATGTCACAGAAATCAGAAATCTTCCATAATAAAAACAAAAAGATTTACCTTATATCCAGGCCCCAGTCTATGCATAGCACATATTTGATGTGTTGTCAGAGCTTCGCTGAACAGATATATTGCACTCATTTGTCCGCAAAACACACGCTCTTCGTCCAGTTCCGGAGTAGCTCCGATGTAACATTTGTCAAACGGCTGCAAAACATTTTGAGTCTATACGTGCGTGCATGTATTGCAATCCACTCAAAGAGAAAGCTCCATGAGAGAAAAACGAGTGCTTTGCATAAACCTTAGCGTCTCGTCTTTGATAACTTCCAGGCCTTTTTTCTGAGTGGACAACAATACCTTCCTCCACGAACACAAATATTTTTAACAAACTCGCTCGGCCATTCCACGTTCTTCAACGATTTTAATAACGAATACCATACACGCAAATTAATAAGCAAAATATGGTAGGCATAAATTGACTTACGTCGTTTGTTGAAACGAACCACGCCATTTCTGTGCTCGATGCCAATTGACCGTTGACCAAACATTTAATTTCGCTCTTCGTCCACCTATTATATATGTACACTACGGCGATCATATACCACTGCGAAAATAAACGTTATTGATTCTGTTGAAATCGCTTCAAATAAATTTTCTGCTCACACGTGTATAATTATACTTGAAAACCATTCGCGAGTGAAATTAAGTTTCAGAAATTGAGGGATTTATCGTCGAATTGTTTACGAATGAGCTGTACGGGCACCGGTACGTACCTTTCGTGGCTGAAATTCATATTTGACACAATGCTGGAAGCCCTTGCCCTTTACTTTCATAGAGGTGAGGACCAAGCAGTTCCCCACGAAATGCGCAGAGTATCCTACTCCCTTGCTAGTTTTAAAACTGGAAACAGAAAAAAGATGATCCATCAAAAACACGTTCTTTATTTTTCAAAATAGTTGAATGACGCTCTTGGCACGTTCAAGAGCAGTAAAGTAAAGCATTACCCAACATTTACACCCCCGTTCATAAGTATGTGGACACTTTCCTCGTTCATTGAATAGTTACACCGTGAATTATTGCTAGAAAATTGTTTACCATATTCTGTTTCGGATGTGTTTTTGATAATATTTGATAATATTAAAGTTTTTAGTGGGATGTTAAGTCTCGTAGAGGACCTATGGGATCATTTAGAAACAACATTTTGAAAACATTTGTGATGAGATATTAAAAAGTAGAGGGAGTAATATTACTTCGGGATACAATGATGAAATTACAATTTAGCTAGATTAATAACTTATCTATCAAGATTGCTAACAGAAATGTTAAGAGTTCGCAGTAGATACATTAATGAAAAGAAAATTGAATTGCGTTTTTATTATTACTGATGAGACATTAAATAAAATATATTCTCTAATGCAACACAAACTAAATATAGAAACATAAGTGATCTTCGTTAATAGATTCGTAACTTTATTTAGATACTAATTTCAATTGAGGAAGTGTTCACATACTTTCGAGCGGCAGTGTATATCCAGTGCTAATCTATTCTCGCAGCAACAAGTTACTAAAATACTCAGAGTTTCAAGTTGGAAGCATCGTTGAAAGACATTATCTCCCGGAAACAATAATGGATAACATCGGTTGTGATTGGCCAATAATCTGTCATCGTTGTACGTATTTATTTTCCGTTTCTCCTCTCTTCCATTATACCCGTCGATTTTAGTTCTCCTATTTTTTTTTTTAAATCGTGGAAACGCCAATGTATTTCACAAAGGAAAACAATGGTTGTCGACTGTATGGAAATCGAATTGTTTCCGCGTGAAAGAATGTGATTAAATTGGTGTGCGATGCGACTGCTCCGACAGGAGCTTTTTCGCGTGAATGCGAACGAAGCTGTGTTTAATCAAACTTGATCGTGTCGATTGAAAGGATTTGGCAGAACGTGTTTTTACTTCGAAGGTCAGTAACATAAATGATTCTTTCGGGTAACCAACCCACTTAGATTCAAGTGAGTGTTCACGTAAGGGTGCTCGATGTAAAGAGCACTTACCAGTAGAGGTACGGCTTTTCTCGTTCGATATTAACAGAGTTGATGGGGTCCAAACGGAACCACGTGGTAAACGTGAATCCATTCTCGTGCGGCCACCTTGCAAGTGGCGGCAGGACGATTGCCTGAAATGTCCACGATAGAAACAATTACATACGGCACACAAAATAAATATTTAAACCTCGAGTGCTCTTACAAAAATAAACATCACGATTCAGGGTTTTCATTATCGAGTATTAATTCACTACTGAAACGTTATCGATCCTTCGTGGGGCCTCTTCAAAGGCTTTAGTTTGTAACGATAACACACAGTTACATTCAAGAAATTTGTAATTTCACTTGGCAGGCATTATCATCGACTCTTAACACCTTGACCTACACCCTATCTCCCGATTGCTTGTGCCATAGTAAACAGGAAGATAGGAAGTCCGAACGAAGTACTACAAGTCAGACTCGTGCTTATTGTTTATGAGCCAAAATGTGTAACTACGTGCCTCATTCGTGGGTGTAGGCCAAAGGGTTAAATCGTCTGGATCAAGTACGAGTTTAGAGCTCCGCGAAACAAGGGGAATTCTCTTACTGAAAGTTTGATAGAGTTTAAAAACGAGCAGCGAGATCGTAAGAAGGATTCCGTTGTTCGTAAAGAAATGTGTGGGAAGAAGGAACTGACTTACCGATCCTTTCCTACCGGGAAAACTGAAAAACACGTCAGGTCCGTTTCGTTGCGGCATTTGACGGAGAACATTTAACAGCTTTGCCGAATGCCTTGGCTGCAGTGTGAACAGAAAGAAAAAGATCGTAGAGCATATACGTAGTGGCGCAAAAACTGGCCAGAATAAAAGGAAAGTTAGCCATATTAAAAGTTTTTCGTATCCAGCCCAAAGCGGTTGGAACTCGATCGGAACGTAAAGTTTTCTTTTCGGCTCCTTACCCATTTTCCTTTCACAGCTTTCATAGCGCCGAATAAAAGTTTTAATTCCTTCACCGTTATACTGTAGCTGGCTAACACTCCGAGCATGTCGATCAGCAAGTCTGTCGAACAGGGAAATTACTTTCGCCGTTAACTCCTGCGTCGAAACTGGATTAGAACTACAAGATAAGGATTTACCTGCGACAACAGTTTCCGCGCGAGACAACCGATGCAACACGTGTTCTATGAGGCTTACGTCTGTACATGCTTGTAAATTCCTCACGCTTTTCCTCAGGATAGCGATAAAGACGCTCCATATTTCGGCCTGAAACAGACAAGAATAAAAGGTTGACGTACAATACGTGAAAAATGTAGATATTAAAGGTTGCAGTTGCGGGGACACGGGTGAAATCGTTTAATTCTTGGCGCCTACGAGGACTTTAGTCGTACTGGTTACAAGATTATGAAGTATAAACAAGATTACTTAATTATTTACAGTCATTCTTTACAGTCTACATTGATTCGTACAGAAAGTGATTCAAGTAGAACGCATAACACCTGAATTACAATTTTTGTTGGTTCCACGCTAAACGTTCGAGAAGAAAGTAATCGAGTTCCCTCCTTACATGGGAACCAGTAGATTATAATTACTCGTCTAATTAGTCGATTCAGTAGTGACAGCATCAGCGAGGGGCGACCTTAAGGCCGACTTCCAGGCCTCCGCATAGTTGATACCGAAACTATTACACCGGCGGCGATAGTTGAAGTTATTCAAGCTCCGTCAGAGAGATCGGAGATCAAAAGTGAGCTAACCGACGAACTCGTGTAATCCGTTACTAATATGCGGCTGAAGCCAGGAACGGAGATAACCGCGAAGAGAGCCGAGGGAGGTGGAATTCTCCGAACGAGTATCGTTGAAATCCCGAAAATGCCGCTGAAATATTCGCTCGGCTTGGAATTTGAGCTGCGTGGACCGAAGTTTTAGCGAAGGAGAGTTAGGGGTATTCGGATAATGTAATATAGCGGTTTTTCCTACATTCGCGGGCGTTCCACGACTCATGCGAAAGGGATGTCGCGATTAAACTTAATCCTCCGAGAGAAATATTCCCTCGGGTATTTGGCTCTTGGGCTTCCTGCGACGAGATTGATTGAAACAGGCGGAGAGCCCAAAATTTGAAATTGAGGTTCTTGCGCGGATAATTACATCGGACGAAATCTGGATTACGTTCTTTACCGTCGACAGAGGACGAGTTTCTCGTCTGATCTTCATGACGCATTTCTCATTAACCGCAGACTTGACTCAGCTCCATTTTCTAGGTCGTTAATTTGGTTTCTCTCTAATCTAGTCCGAAACTAAAATTTACCGTGACTGTACTTTAGTCTGCGGCAATTATTATTTCACTAAAATGGAACACTCTGTAGTCCATATAACAATTCCTTTAACAAACCCCTGAGGAAATGAACTCTCTCCTACTTTTCTCAATTTCCAACAAACTAAAGAGATAACGATTCCTCGGAATCGATTTCGATCATCTGATCATCTTCGGTTCCTTTAATTCTTTGACAATCGTGGAAAGCATCAATTTCGATGAATCGTTGCAGGTTGTGTATAGGAATCTGGACTCCAAATTGCTTCCAATTGCTTGCGGCGATCAGACACCTTCGCCTAATACGAAATGCTGGAAATGCATTATGCACTACGCTCTCGAACAGCAATGAATGAAATCTTTACAGAAAGTTGATATTTTGTAAGGGGCGTAGAGGTGTGAATTTAAAAAAAAAATATTGTATTACTAATATCATAAAAGACCTTTATCCTTAGATCTCGTAGTGGCCTGATTTCGTTGCTGCTGCTTACAGTAAATATTACCGTATAGAGAATTACAAAACGAAACTTTTTTATATTCACAGTTTATTCATACGATGTTTAGTTTCACAGATAAAAATTGAAAACATAGTAGACCATTTCCCTGAAAGTCAATATTTGCCACTAACTTCTAACTTTAGAATTTTTATTTTCGAAACTAGGTGTCCTATGAATAAACCGTAAATATAAAAAAGTTGCGTTTCATCCCTTATAAGCTGGTATTTTGAAAAAATTGATTTAACGAACATCAACATTTTTCTGAGCCCATTTTTCGAGGACGTATACAGGGTAGAAATTATTAAGCGTTACAGTCGAATAATTCCTAAAATATTGATTATACGCAAAAATGTTTGAAATGAAAGTTGTTCAATACCGAGGAGGCATCATGTGCTGGAACTTTTACTGGACCTTTTCCAGCACACGATGCCTCTTCGATATTGAACAACTTTCATCTCAAACATTTTTGCGTATAATCAATATTTTAGAAGATATTCGACTGTAACGCTTTATAATTTCCACCCTGTATATACGCCCTTCGCAGTTAAAGGGTTAATCGAAGGATTAAACTCGAATTTTAATATCCCTTTTTAATTTATGGGGCACGTTAAATATTTCTACATTGTCCATCACGATTTTCTTATTCTGTAATTTTAAAGTAGGAATGACACCTCATGCTCTCAGCGGATTTGAAAAGAAAAGGAGAGAAATGTTGCAGCATTATAGGACGCTAGCAGAATCCGAAGCAAGCACATGTTATTACATTCGATATCGATTCATTCGATGGATACCTCCCGGCAATAATAGAGAAGCATTATTTCCCTCGATATCGTTATTGTAGCCAGCGCATCCCGTAGACAGTTGCGTCGCCACGTTATGTATATTTGGGACACGTAGACAATAAAACGTAATCGAAACGAGATCTCGTTTCGCATAACACCAAATCCAGCGGGGGAGTTACGTGGTTTTAGGTGATTAAACGTAAACGCTACTGGAATTTAATCATTTTAACCAGACCTAACCTTCGAAAATCGTCAATGTTTGTCAAAAAGTATTTTACCTTTGAAAGAGCTTATAAAAAAAGGTAATTGGATAGCCACAGGAAATTCTATCTGTGTTTTAATTTCCGTTTCAATACCTATATTCAAAGTAGTATTAGTACATAAATGTTTATTTTACATTACTGCGTATGCTACGAAGAAATTCAATTAAAAACGAATGAATCCTGCAATTGTAGCGTTATTTGCACAGAGAAACGACTGCTTCGTATTTTGAAATATTCACTTCAATATTACACGTAATATCCTCGAACATTGTATGTATTTCGGTCATATTAAATTCGTCCGTTTTCCTGAAACTTCGAATATTTGATTTCAACTGTGTACTTTATATACGATTCATTTGCTTAATTGTAGCAACAGTCAGTTTCCAATAGACGAGCAGATATTCAGAAATGAAATTGTTTTTACGGTTGGATCTATTATTTAGCGTATTGAAGAAAAATAATGGAATTTGTTACCACCATTTCTAGCAATATATATTCTATACATATACATACATAAAAATAAAAGCTTTGACTCACTGACTTATCAACGTCCAGGCTAAACCCTTGAATCTAGAAAGCTGAGATTTTGCACAGAGGTTTGCTTTATGATGTATACAAGGACTAAGAAGGGATATTTTGAAATTCAACCCCTAAGGGGCTAAAAAGGGATTGCAATATTTGTACGAGGAATATTTTATTTGTGGTTGGATTTGTTAAAAACTTAATCAATCAAGACCTATTTCGGCATTTTTAAAAATTCAACCCCTGAAAGGGGGACAAATTGAAGTGTCTGTCTGTCTGTTTAAACGGGTTAATCTCCGGAACTACTCAACCGATTTTTAAAATTTTGTCAGTAATAGAAAGCTATACCATCCCTGAGTAACACAGGCTATGTTCTATTTTGATAAAAATACGTTTTCAATTTGAAATCTTAAAATTTGTAAATAAAGTTGTGGCATCGTTATACTCACAATGAGAAATATCGATTGAAACATCTGAGTTACGGAAAACAAAAGACAGTCAGCTACTGATTCACGAAGGAACACGCTGTTGAACAATCACTCGAACGCGAACGACATAAAATACATATGTAGTATTCCACGCGGGTGAAACCGTGGGGTACAGCTAAGTAGTATCTTATATGTATAATATGGTGTTTATATCTAAAATTCGCATTTTAATAAATCAAATTTTAATGGAACTTGAGGTATTATCAAGTAAAATTATGTTCTTCATTGGAATTTCATCTCCGCGAATTCGCCCCTTTCGCTTGGTGCATTAAAACGTACTTGTGGGGCTGGCACCTACTTTTCAACAACCGTGTCACGCTAAAAGCCACCGTCGGTGTACGGCTTTTAAAGCTGATTGCGACACCAAAGAGTACTATTCTTCCGATAACTCTGCTACGTTTGACGGGCGTCATGTCGCGCGTTTTTGCATTTAGGAAATTATTACTCGAGAAATTCCGTTTACCCAGCAACAGATTTATTCGTCACATTTACATAATAAATTAGACGACCAGTTGCAGTATCAACGACTAACCATTGCCATCGTTTTCAAAGTGTTCTCCAATATCTTCAATTTCATCGTCGAATGCGAAATCAGCAGCGATATTCTTTCTCGAAGTTAGTACCATTCAAACTCAACGGTCTCGTAAAAAGCGAGCACGTAAACTCAACGCATTTCGAAACGAATTACGACAGCGAAAATATTGTTGTAGGCGTATCGCAAGATACACCTGCATCGACGTCACGGAACGATGTAAAAGGATAATTCTATTTACGATGGGCCCGTTCGCGGAATGAAAAATACGACTCTCCATGAAACGCAGAAGTTAAAGAAGATGGGTCTCTTCGTTAAAGCGATTTAAAGTCCGCTGGCAATTGAATCGTCGAAAACAGCCCCTGCGAACGCTCGCAGTCCCGCAAATGGATTCCCTTCGAAAGTGCCTCGTGGTCGTGGTATACGTAACGACGAATAGAATTTCACCGGTTCTTCCAAAGCCGATGCATTTTAGGTTTTAAAATCTCGTCGGCTCGGATCCGCATTGGCAGGTCCGTCGTTGGATGTTATCAATTATTCCTGACCAGCTCGCTCTTCCGGCCCCTGCATATTTAAACGCGAAGCTCCGAGGGGCTCTTGATTAACTATCTCGACTCGAGCTGATAACTCCCGACTCGTCGTTACGTCGGATAATGAAGACCGCGAAAGTATCGGCTGCAAAAAGGAGGAGGAACAGAACTGAAGCATCTCTCCGCTTCGACGTGATTACAGAATGGGATCGGAGCCTCTCATTTTCCCCGTTTCGTTTCTGTTAATTATATCGTTATGAAATCACCGACCTCCGTCCCGCCGCCATCGCCCGCGAGCTTTCTCGTCCGTAATCAGATTTCCCTTTTTATCTCAGCGTTTCGTT